ATGAGTTATTACTGAAGCTGTCATGTATTGATAAACATGCAGTGATAGGTGAATGTTTCGGAAAGCGCGGCGAACAGCAGTAAATGGAACGGAACGTTTGAGATGTATGTCAAGCAGATACTCAGCTTTGGAGCCAAATTATTAATCTCATAAATTTATGGTTACATGATTGTTTTTCCATAACGAGGTATGTTATTTAGTGCCTAAGTGAAATTAAGAATCGGAATTTTTAAGTGAAAATCTCCACGTTTTATTATGGAAGGAAAAATCAAACACGCATGCGTAAGGCATACCCAAAAAACATGTTCATGGCCTTTGAGGTCCGGATTTTAGATCATTCCAGATAATGGACATCCAGATTTCGGACTTTGTACTGTACTAACTAAAAAAATAAGAAATACTAATGAAATCTAAAAATCAATCTAATTGATGAAAGGTGAATTTTCAGAATATCACTTTTTAATTAAATTTAAATGAAAAAAAAAAAAACTGTAGAACAAAAATCTACATTGTGTGTTTTGGATGAAGCATGAGAATGAATGCTGTTCCTGATTATCAGATGAAGCATGATTTAGTTTTACATTTAAAATAAATGATTAAAATGGACCCATACTTGCCAACCTATGACACTCAAAAATCAGGAGATTTTTCACAATGTTAAAAAGACTTTTTAAATTATAAAAATATAGTTTTTAATAATGAATTAACTTTAAATAGTTACTAACTCTTAAATGCAAGCAACACAAAAATACCTTAGACATAAAAAACATTCTTATTACTTGCATCTTTCAAAAAAAAAAAAAAAAAAAAAAAAACTAAAAAAAAAAAAACCACTTTAATCAGTTTTCATACAAATGTTATGAACAGTGGCAAATTTTGCTTTCATTAATAAAGAAACTTCATAATTTTGTTCATAGCAATTACCACGTAGGCCTGCTTTCGTTAATAAAAGTTTTTCTAATGTGTCATCACTAATATTAGATCTAAATTTAGTCCTCGTTTTCACAACACTGAAAATCTTCTCACACTCCGCATTACTATGGGGAACTCTCAAGATGGCCAACATAATTCTAGACAGTTCACTATATTTTAAAATTCCATGAACACCTTTCAGTTTTCCAATTAAACTCCAGTGGGTGTCAATCCTAGCTGATTTTATAACTTCATCCAAGTTTTCTAATTGTAAACTGCAAAATTGCGACTGCAGTATATCAGTAGTAACATCAATATCATCATTTTTCATGACTAAACGAAGTAACACAGGAAATCTATTCAAAAAGTACCTTATATCAGAAAAAGATGCATTTGCTAGAGCAGAAACATCACAAACTTTAGCATGCAAAATCACTTCATCGTTGACTGGAAATTTATGTAGTATGTAATCACATACTCGACAGAAGTAACTTCTAACATGAAGATAAAACTTATTTTTGTCTTCTTCTGAAAGTTCTTCCACTACTTTTGTAGTTGCAGCTCCTATTACCAAATCTTCATCTTTCTTCTGATTTTCTATTTCACCATAAATCATATCATATATAGAATTACAAGACAAAACACGGACTGGTTTTACAAACTTTGATAAAATGTCTTTAAACAGATCATAAATCATTGATTGCAAAACATGAATTAAATGGAATTTCTGCTTTGTAGAATTGTGTTAAGAACATCGAATGATGGCAAAATTATTGTAATTGTAAAAAAAAAGCAAAAAGCTTTTCGTTAAGGTCCGAAGAAAAAAACATAAATATTTGTTCTTCACAAGATAAACTTACAGTAATCGGAAAATGCTTCGTGTGATGAGCATTTTTTTTTTTATTTTGAGAGAAATTTGTATCAGCTTTACACTTATATTTTGCAGTATTATTTTGAGAACTGCCAGCTGAATTGCTGAATGATGCAGAAATTACTTTATTTTTCTCAAACCTATTTTTAAAAATGGAAGTAGTAACTACATCTCCATTTACTTTAGGTACTTTATAACTTTCAATAGAGCCTTTTATCTTAACTCTCGAAGCATTTACTTCTTCTTTAAAAAATGCAAGAAGTAGGTTCCATTGATCGAGGATTCTAGATAAGCATTTCTTTAAAGACAGCCAGCGTGTACACACATGTTTCAAAATTTTTCTCATTTCAGTATTATGCAGCTGAATTATTCAGTATTATGAACTGTTTCAATTTTTCCTTTCTTTTAGAACTCCTTTCAAGATAATAATAAATATCAACAATGTGTTCATCCACATTTATTGGTAAAGAAGCTGCCCCTTTTTCAGCTGCTAAATTTAAGAGGTGACAGGTGCACTGCAAATCTGAATTTGCCTTTCTTAAGATGCCTGCAACACCAGTCTTCAAGCCTACCATTACTGGTGCATTATCGGCACCAAGTGCTAAGCAATTATCCAAAGGGACTGCATTTTCTTTTAAAGTTTTAATAATTAGCTGTGCTATATTAAAGCGTGCCGAATGTCCTTCTAAAGTGGGGACAGAAAGTAAACTGCACTCAATTTCTGAAGACTCTGGATTAAAAAAAGAAACAACAATTGGATACAGTTTTGAATTGGTATTATTGCTTCCTTCCGTAGAGAGGCAGAACGGAGCTGTTTTAATGCAATCAATAACTGAAAATTTATTTTTCAAACCCATTTCTTTAACAATTGTACCAGTTTTGGTCCTTGCACTTGAGTATTTCTTAGTGATTTCACTATCAGGAAACATTTTTCTAAATAAAGCTGCAGCGTGATCCGATGCATTCAGTGGCAGGTTGTGCTCAAGTAAAAAGGCGGAGAACAGACATTCTGCATTAATCACTTTTTGGTCTCTTCTTTCCGAAGAAAAATTTAATTTTTCATTTTTTTCAAAACAACTCATGTTGTCCTTGTGTTTTTGTGTACGCACATGTTTTTGAGAACATCTCCGCCCTTCCACCATGCGAAATCGAAAAAGCGCAACGACCAGGCGGTACACATCGCAATTATTTATTACATTTCCTTGAAGGAAATAATGGAAGGAAAGTCAACTGTGTACGATTTTTGAAACGTACACGAGTGTATTTCACCTTTCTCGCTCAGACATAACAAAAGATGATAATTTCTAAAAACTATTTCCCAAAGGCACGTATACTCACACAACTCAGGACAAAATGACCAAATTGAACGAAAGAACATCCTAAATAACGGCCAACGGGCCTTGAGCTTCCTTTGTCCTCATTGGCTAATATATGCCAGACTGACACGCAGTGGAGCTCGACGCCCATTGGAGAACTGGAGAATGACGTTTCTGGATACGTATAATGCTCTTCACTCAACAAAGCAGAAGTCTCATTTGATTTGCAAAGTTTTATTTTAGATATAATGTAGAGAAAATTCAGTTGCTTTCCAGACGTCCAAAATCACTTTTTTTTTTTTTTTTTTTTTTGTTTTTGTTTTTGTTCATATAACGAAGTATTAAGCCAAGTTCCATAAAAATCGTGAGAAATATTAAGAATAAGAAAAAGTCGGGAGAAATATATTGTAAATTGGGTTGGCGGGAGAGCGGTCGAAAATCGGGAGTCTCCTGCCTAAATTGGGAGAGCTGGCAACTCTGTGGACCTCATAAAATTAACTAAGTGATAGGAGCAATTACTTTGAGATCTTTCTGCAGATAGCAATGGAGGAAAATAAGACTTATTAAATCTTGGATTCCATCTCCAACAGCATCCTCCCTTCCTCTCTTCCCCAAAAATAAAAAACTTCTATATAAAATATTACATATTTATTTACAATAAAGATAACCATAAGATATTACAGATAATGGAGACAGGTATGACACTTTTAGGTTAATCTAACCATTTTTCAGATGTACAAGATAAACAGCCTTAGCCTTCTACAACCAGTTTAATTACATTATTGAACATTACTCTTATACCCCTCGGAAAAATCCCATTTTTATAAAATTACAAGGACTCATTAAGGTGAAAAGTTCAAAACAATTGTAAAGACACAATTCTAAATGCCTTCTGACAATTTCCAGAATGCCTTTTGACAAAATTGCAATTTATTTACATTGGACAGAAATTAATTTGGATTTCATCGAATTGGCTGAGGAATGGACATAATCAAAATATCAACTACCATTTTTCAATAACAGATTTCTATCTTTACGCTCATTATTAAATAGGAAAAGGGAAGTCAATCAAATGCAGAATTCTTCAGCTTTAATTTTAGATTCTATAATAGCATCAATTATAAATGAACATGCTGCTGCAAATGGTCAAACACTGAAGCAGAAAATAATGATGCTACTATTTACATTGTAGACATAAAGATTAAAAAAAAAAAAAAAAAAAAAAATCATGTGATAATAATAATCTTAGAGCTAACTAGCATTTTTAAGCAAATGAAAAGCAGTGCAAAATTTTGGGGAAACAATTGATTAAAAGCAGTCAGCACAGAAATGTTTATTCATACATCTTTATATATTCTGTCTATAGAATTGCAATTTTCACTATGATTGTATTATTTCTGTATTTCTGATTGTATTATTTTGCATGAATATCAGTATTGCTGCTTAAAATTTAGTACATATAATATTAACAGTTTTAATACATTTTTCACCGTAATAGCATAAAAAATCATTGTATGTTAGTATTATTTTTGTAGATATCAGATATATATATGCTGCATATATGTAAAATTATCATATTTATTATAGGGCATTATATTTCTTCCCAAAGCATGAATATAGCATGCAATTTTATGCTTCCAAGCATAATAATAGCACTATGTGCACTTTTAATTTTGTAAAAAGTGTAATGAATAAAGATCAAAGTAAGACCTATAACTGCAACTAAATTAAATTACCTCTTTTTCCAAAAGATGGTGTATTCAGTAACTTTTTCTATAATATTTTCCAACAGTATTTAATCTAATTGAATATTCAGAAATTTCTAACAATGAAAAGTAAGCACCATAATATTATAGTAATAAAAAAGAACTCAGTATCAAAGAGAAAAATATGAATCATACCTCATCCATTGACTTCATTTCCAAACGTAATTTATCCAAAATTGTGATGAAAAGCTGAAAAAAAATTATTTTATAAAAAACTATACATTTTATCTGCTTCATAAAGTATGTACATTATCAACTTAAGAAAAACTATTATTAAACAACTATAAAATTTTAATTATAAATTTTTTATATGGAAAGAAAAAAAAATAAAACTGATTTTTATTTTAGGTAACTTAATGGGAAGTAACAATCGATACTTCTTCCATTTCTCTCATCGCAAAGTGATTCACAATTTTTCCAACCAGTAGCCTTTGAAATTCTCAGGTTAAAAATACCCAAAAATGCTTTAAAAAGAAAAAAGAGAAAAAAAAAAAAACTTTAGGAGATTTATTTGTTAAATGCTCACGACTTAATTAGTAAAAATTCTGACGAACAATTGTTAGAACAGAAAATTTAAATTTATAATAAAGGCTTGAATAATAATAATAATAAAAGTCTCCTTACTCAATGATTAGAACAGCTATTTAATTTAATTTGTATTCTCAATTAACCTTTTAACTAATATTAACTCATATTTAAAATACTATCATAACAAAAATTTAAAATTAAATATGTAAAAAAAGTTCTCTTTCCTGTAACTCCACTTCTTCCTGTTTGCATACATATAAACAATTATATATACATTTATTTATAAATAAATATTATAACAATATTTATTTATCTAAAACAATATAATTTATGTATAAATAATTAAATAACATTTGTGTTAGAATATTTATAATAAAAATAGTAATTTAGCAAATCTTCACATCAATAAAATAGTTTGTCATAACACATTCCAGAAACAAATTTCATATATACTACTTCAGAATTTATTTACAGCACATATATGTGTATACAGTATAAAGTCTGTAATCCGGACTTCCATTATCCGTAATGATCTATAATCCGGACCTCAAAGCCACAAACTTATGCATGCGCATAATGCATTTACGCATCCGCGTTTAATGCGTGCGTATGCTACGCATGCGTGTAAAGCGTTTACCCATGCATGCTTCCGATAGAAAGTGACAGAGAGGTTATTGAAAACGAAAAAATTTCGATTGACAAATTAGTTGGTATTCTCGACACAGCAATTACAGGACTTGAACAGTGGAGCTTTGTAAATGAACAAGAAATTATGTCTGTTTATAGAATTAAACAGAAAGTATTAGCACAAAAAATGAAGCAACTTAAACAATTTACATTGGAAGAAATGTTTAATAAAGTAAACAAATAAATATTAAGCTTTTATTTTTTTTGTAAATTTTGATATCCTTTAGACCAGGGGTCGGCAACCTGTTTGTCCTTAAGGGCGCAATACTAAATTTGAAAATCACCGAGGGCGCATATTTTACAGATAATCAACAGGTATAAATAGGCATTAAAAAAACAGATTTTTTATAACTTTATTTTGTTGGTGTCATACATAAAGATACATATAATTCAGTGTGAAACTTGGGTGCCCATATTTTCAGCTAATTTCTTATAATTGGGGATATATTTAGAGTTCCCGGTCCTTAAACAGTTATCTAAATGTGAGTCATTAAGCTGTGTTCGGTATTTTGATTTCAAATATTTCATATTTGAGAACAAAGACTCGCAATTGTATGTTGTTGCACAATATGAATAAATTTTTAGCGCACATTTCCTTAAAATAGGATACTTATTTTCATCGACTAAGTTCCAAAACATTTTATCATTACTATGCGCTTTTAAAAATAATATCACTTTGCAAGTTTATTATTTCTAATTCTAGGTCTTCGATATTATGAAGCTCGAAATACACTGAAACTATTTCAAGGACATCATCTTCAGTAACACTGAATGGATTTATGAAAAATCTTAGAACGGGTTCTAATGCTGCAAAATCTTCAAATCTAGAAGAAAACTCTTCTATTAGCTTATCTATAATTTCTAAATATGATGTAGCAGTAAAATTTTCATTATTCAGATTTAAACTTTCAACAGTATATTTTATAATTTGGAAATGTGATAATGATTTTTTCAATAGAAAGGATTTCAACAACAATAACTTGCATTTGAATGCATTTACTGCCACTAATCATGTCAGCGATATGCTGATTTTTCCCTTGTATTTTTAAAATTTAATTCATTCAACTTTGCCGTTATATCTGTCAGAAATCCGAGGTCGATTAGCCAATCCTTAATTTTCTAATTGCTCGTAAAATTCGCCTCTTGATGCAATAAATTCCTTTACTTGTGGCAAAAGCATGATAAACCGCTCAAGTATTTTACCTTTGCTCAGCCACCTCACTTCAGTATGTAAAAGAAGATCTGTGAACTGAACGATCTCATCTTCTAAAAGTAATTTAAACAATCTGTGTTGCATAGCTTCCGATCTTATGGAATTAATAACTTTTGTAACTATCGTAAATACGTGTTGAAAACCGATTGTTTTTGCGCATAACATTTCTTATGTATGAGGCAATGATAAGAAATAAATTTCGGGAATAAGGAATCCTGTCTACATAAGGCAATAAATCCTTTTTTCTTACCAGTCATCGCTGGTGCCCCGTCTGTTGTAATTGACGATAACTTTTGTACAGGTAATTTTACATCTGTTATACACTTTTTAAAAGTAGAAAAGATATCTTCTAATCTGGTGCTTCCCTTTAATGGCAGAACTTTAAGGAATTCTTCTTTTGTTGTAAAATCAGAAAATACCATCTTCACGCAAATTGCTAATTGTGATATATTTGTCACGTCTGCCGATTCATCCATCTGTAGCGAAAAGAAAATACAATTTTCCATATCATTTGCTAATTCTGCCTCCAAATTCTCCGCAATTACTTCAATTCTTCTAGTAATAACAGTTCGTGCTGATAATTGCAACGTGTTTATAGCTGAAACTATTTCCTTTTTATTTTTAATATTCTTCAAAAAGTGAATCAGCAGCTTCTAACATGACTTTTTTCACTAATTCTCCATCTGTAAATGGTTTTTTATTCTTAGCTAGCAAATGCGATATTTTATATGACGCGATCGTTGCTGCTTTATGTTGTTGCAGCGGTTTAGTAAAAAAAACTTTGCTGGTTAGTTATTGAAGATTTTAAAGAAATATTTTTTTCTTCTAATTTCAGAGTTCATTGGATAGTCACTATCAAAATTGGTATGAATGGTCTTAAAATGTTGTTTAATATTACTTTTCTTGGGAATCACAACACTATTATTACACAACAAACAAATACACTTCCCTTTGTAATCAACGAAACAATATAGATGTTTCCATTCATTGTTAAAATATGTTCCTTTTCTTTTACATTTATCCATGAAGGGTTTTGAAAGAAAAGAATTATTTTGGATTACTTGGTAGTTTTAAATGCAAGGTCTATGCGTGGTCTATTCAAAATACGATCACACACTAACAAAAAATACGTGCATGTTATTAGATACGCTCAAGGTTAGCAAACTGTTAATCTATGCACAATCCTAAACTCAACTGACTACTGTCTAACCACGCTAGTGAGAGCAGTTTGGCTGAGGGCCAAGATGGGTCTCAGTTTAATTGAAGGGGTGGTGTGGGCGAAAAGCGCGGGTATTTTTTCCCTCTCGAAGGTTGAAGGGGTGTGGGTGAAATCGAAGGTCAGGGGACATTTAGTGTCTACCGGGCTACTGCACTCACCCCTACATAACTGATAGATGTGCCCACTTCCGCCCCAAACCGGATGTTTACATAGATCTGGAATACATGGTCAGACAGTACTTGCTGTATATCGCTGTTTGACAAGAGTAAGTAAATCGCTCTGGCTATCATACATTTACATTAGTCAAGCGAGGGCGCATTAAAAATCGATCGGGGGTGCCATGGCGCCGCTTTGCCTACCCCTGTTTTAGACCATAATTGCTCTTTATTTCATAAATTATGATTTCATATTTTTAATTGTATAATTTCTACATGCCATCTTACCAGATTTAAATTGATGATCTATAAAACAGAAAAAACCCTAATCCAGAATCGCTGAAGTCCCGACGGGTCCGGATTATGGACTTTGTACTGTATAATCAAAGACTGAATTAAATGCATTAATAAATCATAATAAATTTCCTAATACTTGCACAATAGCTGCAAAATTATAAAATAATAATTTCTTTACTAATGGATCACTGAGTATATTATCTCCTTACAGAAAGTTAGTAGAATTGTAGTTGAATGAAGTAACTTAGAAACATTTAAAATTAAATCTTGAAAAATTTTTTAAAAAGAAACTTCAATTTGAATTATACAAAAACTTAAATGGAAACATTTAAAAATGAAAAATTAATCAACAAATCATATAATTATCGCCACTGATCAGAAATTGGTTAGCTTTTCAAGGGGAAAAACCAACCCTCCAATCAATCAACAATAATTAATAAATGGGAAGGTTTTTCGTCATTTACTCAAGTAAGAATTATAATGCCAAACTGGTTGTTAGTTTAACCAATTATATTGGTTTAAAACAATTAGATTGTTGAGTTTAAACCAGTTAGTTAGATTTAAAGTAAAGGTAGTATATAGAATTCATCATGAATGTAGAGTTCCATTTCGTTTAAAAATTTTTTTAAATTGAGTAGTAGTAAAAAAAAAATTTTGGTACTTTTTCCTGTTTCGCCACCGCAAATCTTGCCAAACAAACTCTATTGGCGACTACACACAGTACACACATAGAAAATGTTAACAAATGTTAGTTCAAAGAATTTTTTATTTTGAAGGCATAAACATTTTAATATCATTTAAAATTTTGTAAGAAGCTAATAAATAAAGACAATAAAGTTGTAAAAAGATATTAATTTAAGAACTTACTATGCTGCCATGGTTCAACATCCTGATTCGCCGATTCATATCACGTAACCCCAAGTAATCTCATCTCTAAACTACGCTTTAAAAATCTAATTCTCTCAGTAATTATCCACATTAATTTCAAGTTAAATCTTAATTTGGAATACAAGCTTAAGGGCAAGAATTATTTCAGTTCGCATGAATAGCTTACTAAAACTGCAGTCCTTTACTTCGCTAGTGCATTCTC